GTCCTCACAGATCCTTTTCTYCCCTGTGGGCAGATAGTGGCAGAGCACCTTTCCCTCCCTTCTGTGTATTTCCTGCAGCAAATGCCATGTGGTTTGGAACACAAGGCCACCCAGTGCCCCAACCCCCCTTCCTATGTGCCCAGGTTGTTCACAGACCTTACAGACCGCATGACCTTCCCCCAGCGGGTCAAGAATSTRCTCTTCGAAATCTCACATCTTTTCCTCTGCAATGCCGTCTTCRATCCTTACGGAAARCTGGCTTCCGAGTTCCTCCAGCGGGAGGTGACKGTGCCCGATCTCCTGCGCCAGGCTTCCATTTGGCTCATGAAGCTGGACTTTGTCTTGCAYTACCCAAAACCCTTGATGCCCAACATGGTTTTGATTAGYGGAGTGAATTGTGCTTACAAGAAGCTGAATCAGGTGGGTCACGCACTGTTTGTTCTTGTTCTTGCAGGCTTTGAAATCCTCTGACAAGATGCAAGTCAGATTTTGATAGAAAGTTCTCTTCCTTTGGGTWGTTKCAGGAGGATTTCAAAGWGCTCTTMTTTTGCACAGAGGTKCTGGTTCTGGTATCCATGCAGGWTTATCAGAGTGTAAAGGTGGAGAAGGTGTTGTACATGGAATTAGCTCTRGAAGATTCCACATYGGTCCTGTGCCTGTGCTCCAAGCCAGCTTTGGGTTGGAGTGGTTTCCTCAGAGCCTCTTCCCTCAAGGCTGTTGGTGTGGTGCAAACATTCTTTGATTTGAGGAGGCTTTCCTTTATCCTGTGGTCCCACTTGGCTGATTTCCTCTACAATTCTGGTCTTCTTTTTCTCCTTTAATGAASGATTCTCTATGCTTTKMATTGTCATAGACTCATCAAACATTTTCATCTGGAAAGACATTTGAGACCACTCTGAGAACCTCCTGTCAAAGCATTTYCAGTTAGATCAGGTTGTTCCTTTTTCTATCTCCTCAAGTTTTAAATACCTCCACAACCTCTAATTTTCTGTAACTTTGTGAAACTTGGTGCTCTTAGTGAGTGATGAATGTGTTTGTGGGGCTGTCAAAGCTTTGCAGTCAGGTGTAATCCCTAATTAGCAAATTCTTGTAACCAGGTCTGGTATTTACTGAGAAATGCACCTCAGGCTTCTGTCCTTGTTGCCTCATGCGAATTTTTCTGCTTCTTCACCGGGTATTTCCAACGCTGGAATCCTGAGGAACGTGGCAGGCTGGGGTCTCTCAGCTTGAGAAGTCTCTGTTKGCAGCCAGATCTGGAAAAMAATGGGTTTGGTGATGGCTATGTGAGACCTGCCAATAAACTCCGGGAGCCTGAAGGAGCTCTGGTGACTTGGCAGGTCACACTCAAAGGTGACAAAAAAGCCAAAGGTTTTGTTATAAAAYACGAGGCTTATCTGGCGCATCACCAACATTTATCAGCTGCCCAAACTCTGCTGCTTGTTCTGCAGCCTTTTATCACATCAGGGATTACACATTTACCCCTCAGCAAATAAAACAACAATCCCATGCTGGGCTGTGGCACACATTGAGACCGTGGAGTGCGCTCCATTTCTCCAGAGCTGCCGGGGGTTTCCTTCCTTGGAGGCACTCACCTGATTTCTGCAGGAATGGCCCCAGGGCTCGGTGTTTCCCCACGAGCTGTGGTTCTGCTCCTGTCCCTGCTGGGTCTGGCAGCTGCTGGGAGGCTCCTGGTGGTGCCGGTGGACGGGAGCCACTGGCTCAGCATGCTGGAAATGCTGGACATGCTCCAGCAGAAGGGACACGAGGTGGTGGTGGTGGCACCCGAAGTCTCTTTGCAGATCAAGCCGTCAAAGAGCTTTGTGATGAAAATGTACCCGGTGCCTTTCACGAAGGAAGAGATGGATGAAGTTTTCAAAGGATCAGTACTGGATTTATTTGCAGGAGGATCTTTTCTGGAAAGAGTTATGAGGCAGTATGAACAGGCAAAGAAAACCACGGCTCTGTTCCTGGCYACCTGCACACACTTAATCCACAACAAGGAGCTCATCAGGTCTCTGGAGGAGAGCAAGTTTGATGCCATCCTCACAGACCCTGTCCTACCCTGTGGGGCCATCCTGGCTGAATATCTTTCCCTCCCTTCCGTCTATTTCCTGCAGCAAATTCCATGTGGTTTGGAATATCAGGCCACCCAGTGCCCCAACCCCCCTTCCTATGTGCCCAGGGTGTTCACTGACCTTGCAGACCGCATGACCTTCCCCCAGCGGGTGAAGAATCTACTCTTTGAAATCCCAAATTTTTTCCTCTGCGATATTGTCTTCAATCCTTATGCAAAACTGGCTTCSGAGTTCCTCCAGCGGGAGGTGACTGTGCCCGATCTCCTGCGCCAGGCTTCCATTTGGCTCATGAAGCTGGACTTTGTCTTGCATTACCCAAAACCCTTGATGCCCAACATGGTTTTGATTAGCGGAGTGAATTGTGCTTACAAGAAGCAGAATCAGGTGGGTCACGCTCTGTTTGTTCTTGTTACTCTTGCAGGCTTTGAAATCCTCTGACAAGATGAAAGTCAGGTTTTGATAGAAAGTTCTCTTCCTTTGGGTGGTTGCAGGAGGATTTCAAAGTGTTTTGCTTTGTACAGAAGTGCTGGTTCTAGTATCCATGCAGGATTATCAGAGTGTAAAGGTGGAGAAGGTGTTGTACATGGAATTAGCTCTGGAAGATTCCACATTGGTCCTGTGCCTGTGCTCCAAGCCAGCTTTGGGTTGGACTGGCTTCCTCAGAGTCTCTTCCCTCAAGGCTRYTGGTGTGGTRCAAACATTCTTTGATTTGAGKAGTTCTTCATTTATCTTTTGGCTGATTTCCTCTTAAATTTTGTCCTTTTCTTCCCTTAAAGATGGATTCTCTATGCTTTTAATTGTCATAGGCTCATCAAACATTTTCATCTGGTAGGCCCTTAGAGGTCTCTCTGAGAACCTCCTGTCCTAACCTGTCCAGGTCAGGTTGTTCTTTTCGCTGTCTTGTCAAGTTTTAAATATCTCCCATAGTGAACATACTTTATTAAATCCAATTCATTCCTGTATCCAGTTTAAATTCTTCATGTTGTGGCTTATATTTGTTACCTCTTGTCCTGTCACTGTCAATCTCATATTTTTGTCCACTTTTTGTCATCTCCTGCAGTCCAGCTGGAGTGCATCCTGTCCTGTGGCATGGGATTATCCCATTCCAGAGGCAGAATTTGGCTTTTGCCTTTGCTGGCCTTCGTGATGCTGCTATTGACTCATTTTTCCAGCTTGTATATCCCAAGCCGGTGATGCACCTTAGTTAAATTTTCCTTCAGGATTGAAAAAAATTAATCATAAGTTAAGTTACTTTATTCTTCTTAAGTGAATCTTGGATTTGTCACAGCCTTTTCTAAAAAAGTGTTTTCAAATAGATTTTGTAGAGTATTTAGAAAATAGATTTTGCAAAGTAATACTGTAAACTCTATTTTAAATAATAACTATTTCCATTGAGTGTTTCAGACACTTAYTTTGCAAAATGGTCAGATAAGGCTGATTTTTCAGAAAAAGCCCAATCTCACACGGTTAAAAAGGAGCATTTTTAAGAGGATTCAAACTTGGCACTCAGGCTAGAAAAGTAGAGAGGGAGTAAAGTGCACAGCTAAACCTACAAAAAGAATTATGGCAGAGCTCCAGAAAATCTGGAAAATCGTAGCTAAAGCCACAAAGGGAACTGATAGTTTCTCCCAATATTTAACACTGAAGTGCAGCAAGCTTAAAGCAAACAAAAGCAAGTGTGTTTTTTTCACACCATGCCCCAAAAACTCCCCCAAATCAGCCTCTCAAAAGCCGCAGATTTTCTTTTTTTTGCAGACAAACCCTCTGACTTTAAAAGGGATCGAGGTGGTTAATAAGAGGTGCGGGCTGCCTGCCAGGATTTGTAGGCTTACAGGAGAGATAATCGTGGATTCCCTCAGCTCTGATATTTGCTGTACCGATTCCAGCTCACGACCTTGGCACTCAGCTCTGCACTTTCACTCGGCTTTCTCCTCTTATCTCCCCGTTGGAATGGGCTGGACTCGTGGACTTCACTCTCTGCCCTCGTAAACACGTGGGAGGGTGTTCGTGTGCTGCTCAAAATCCAGTGGCATGACTTTTACGAACTTTTGCTGAACTTCCCTGAACTTTTTTTTTTTTTAAACTTTTCTGAACTTGGCCTCAAGGGTTGGGTTGAGGTTTGGGTTTTTTTTACCTTTGAATGTCGTTTTATAGGGTTTTTTAGGGTTTTATAGTAGCATCTCATGGATGACACACGTTTGGCTGAAATGTTAACAGAACTTAACGAGGTGGGAGTGATTATGGATCAAATATGAGATTTGAGAGGCCTTTATGCAGGGTAGGAGTGTGTCTGCAACTCTGGCTTTACTACCTGAGTATGTACTGCCACCTTAAGGCTTACTCAATGCTGCTTCATCTCGTTATTTCTACCACAGATATGTGGAAATGCAGCCCCAGCAGGTGAGAATCCCTTCCCTCCACCCTCAAAAACTGAAAGTTTTTGCTCCTTCAGTGCCACCCCACTGCCAGCTCCAGCCAAAGGTTTGCTTCACCAGCTGCAGAATRGGACTGCATCAAATCACAGAATTGTTGAGGTTGGGAACTCCSTCTAAAATCAGAGTCCAACCTTTAACCCAGCACTGTCAGCTCCACCACTAAACCATGCCCCGAGTGCCACATCCACAGGTTTTTTGAGCGCTTCCAGGGATGGTGACTCCACAAAGGACAACCCTTTCCATGAAGAAGTTTTTCTCAATATCCAATCTTACGCTCCCTGCCAATGTCTGAAATTCTTATTTAGTGCATTTTGCTTAAATATTACAGTCCTTCTTGCTGGCTTGTAAGAAACTCTTTTCCTAACAGGCCATGTGGGAGAACCTCCTCTCCAAATAAACATTTTAGGACACTCTTCATTTAAATCTTGGAATAGGATTGGCCTTGGGGTGTATTTATCACACTCAGTGCCTTTGGCAAAGGGGGCCATTTCAAGCGTTGGATTTCCCATCAGTCCTACCTGCTCCAAGAAAACTCTTCCAGACCTGGAGAAACTGCTCAGAGTTCCCTCTGCTCAGGTGTGCTTGGTTGGGGGGTCTAAAAGCATCTTGTCTTCTCCACCCACCTCTTGTCCAGGTACCATTCCCATATCTTGTTCTGCTTTTGKGAACTCRCAAACTTTTGCCATCCAATTTTTCYCTAKCCACACAAAATCTGCCTTAGTGGCCGGTTGAGATCTGCTTTGCCAGGCCCTCCCGTCCGCAAGCATGGGCTTCCCCATGCTCAGACCACAGCCAGGCCTTCTGAACTTTGGGAAAGGGAAGGAAATCCTTTATTAAGAACTTCCAAACGCATTTGTAGCCTCTCCCCTCTGAACTCCCATGGCCCCTCTTGAGCAAGAGCCACGTGTTCCACTGTGTTATCGCTTTTCAAAATGATGTTTGGCCTCGAGCCGCTCACCTACGAACTCTGATGGCCCCTGCTGAGCACAGACTGTTTTCTGCTGTCTCACTATTTTGCTGAGAAGGTGAAAGGTGCTTGGTTAATGTGTCACCCAAACTTTGGTGACTCCTGCTTGCCATGGAGAACAATCTCCGTGAACTCTGGTTGCCTTTCTAAGCAAAGGTTGGAGTTTAGGTCTTCCATGCCAACGGTGCAACACGATTCTTGTGGGATAAGATCTGTGGAGTGGTCATAAATTTGATTCCTGGCTTGAAACTGGCCTAGGCCAATCAAGGGCACAATTAATCACTTGAAACAATCCTGACAGAGCAAAAAAGACCCCTCCACAAACAAATGCTGCCTCTGCKAATTGCTCTGAATCATTGAAGATAATTAAATGCATGGGAAAGCTTCTTTAGGTGCCTTGATAGCACTTTAATCAAGGCCTTTATCAGCAACGTGGTCTTCGAACTCCGATGATCTGTCTTAGTAAACTGTTTGTAGATACAAACATTAAAGTCCAGCACAATATAAATGAGGGACGAGGAGTTTTTGCTTCATAYGCTGTTGAAAAAATTAGGAAGGAGCAGCTCATTTCTTCTCCCCCRTGACAGTTATGTGGAGGCACCAGGTGCCTGCTGGGCTTGTGCTTTTCCTCGCTTGCTGGAGCCTGGCAGAGGGTGGGAAGCTCTTAGTGGTGCCTCAGGATGGAAGTCACTGGCTGAGCATGCGCATGGTCCTGGAGAAGCTCTGGGAGAAGGGGCATGAGATTGTTGCCGTGGTTCCCGAAGCTGCCTTGTTCTTGAAAAACTCCCAATCCTTCACCGTCAAAACATACTCGGTGCCTTACAGCCAGGAGTTTGTGGATAAATCGTACCAGGAGCTGGGGACAAAGAGCTTTGAGTTGACACTCTCAGCCGTGCTCAGCAACATMTCGGGGATGACCAACATGTTCTCTTCCGCCTGTCGGCATCTCTTGTACAACGAGGAGCTCATCCAGTACCTCCAGGACAGCAAATTCGACGCCATCATGATGGATCCYGTGCTGCCCTGTGGGCCAATTCTGGCTGAGCACCTGTCCCTCCCTTCCGTGTACTTCATGCGCGGCCTTCCRTGCACCTTGGACTACAAAGCCGCGCAGAGCCCCAGCCCCGCGTCCTACGTGCCCAGGGGTTTCTCCTCCAGCTCTGACCACATGGCATTCCCAGAGCGCGTGAAGAACTTCCTGATCAGCCTCTCGGAGCCTTTGTTTTGTCACCTGTTTTACTCAAACTACCAGAGCTTGGCCTCTGAGTTCCTGCAGAGGGATGTGACGATGCAGGAGCTGTTCAGCCGAGCATCAGTTTGGCTGATGAGATACGACTTCGTTTTTGAGTTCCCACGCCCCGTAATGCCCAACATGGTTTATATCGGGGGCATCAACTGCCAGCAGAAGAAGCCCCTCTCAAAGGTTTGTCGTTGCTCACCCTTGAGGGTGGTGGTGGTGCTCGATCAAGATGTGCTTTTTGTAAAAAAGAAAAATGTCCTTCCTGTAGTAATATTGGTGCTTGAGTGTGGTGGGATCCCAGGATGGTGTGGCAGTGGCAATCTTAGGCGTTGAGAGATCATCACAAGGTTTGCTGAAGGGTTTCTCTCCAGGAGAGCTTAGGTCAAGTTGTCACCATCACTCGCGATGTGCTCTGCGTCTGGGTAAATGATGATATAATTCCAGGCCACAGGGTTTAATATTTAATATTCATAGGTTAATCGCAGGATACTTAATTGGACAAAATAAATGGAAGTGTGGAATTAACTCTGAGGATAAAACCAGGCACTTGTGCTGTGCCACAGAGTGTGAAGCTGGGTGAAGCACAGGACATCGGGGCAGGTTTAGGGTGGAAAGCAAGGAAAGGTTCTTACCCCAGAGGCTCCTCAGGGAAAAGGCACAGCCCCAGAGCTCCAGGAGTGTTTGGACAGCACTGCCAGGGGTGCACAGGGTGGGATTTGTTGGGGTGATTGGGGTGTCTGTACATGGCCAGGAGTTGGACTCCGTGGTCCATGAGGGTTAGGATATTCCAACTCAGGATATTCCATGATTCTGTGTGCGCCAACATCACAAAACCAAGGGTGCAAAGACGGCAGAGGGAACTCTGTTGCCTCTGGGTTTGTGCTAGCAGCAGTTCAAGTAAGAGGATGGCTGGGAAAAGGAGCCTTCAGGGTTGTAACAACTCTCCCTCGTTCGAATCTCCCTCGTGCTGTGCAAACACTGCTGCTTTACTCTCCTTTCAGACCATCGGGGTGCTGCTAACACGAGTTATTGCTGAACTCACAACACATTTACTACAGCCAGCTCATGGCTTTCACTTCGATAACTGCTCTGATAGAGCACCAAATCTGGGGAAAAACACCTCTCTCTGGATCAAACCTCTGTCAATCTTTGCTTCTTGGTTACGCTCCAGGGACACAAAGCAATCCAAAGGTCAGATTGGCACCAAGCTCTGTATCCAATCAACGCCCTGGGCTCAAGGCAGGGGGTTGATCATTAACAGGGTGTTAATGATGTGGTGATCGCTGGGTCAGTTCCTCTCAGGGCTCTCACTCACCCTCAATCCGTTGGTCACTCGTCCTCCATCCCGGTGTCAATCCGAACACTCAACCTCACCTCGCGGCACCCACTTGCTGAAAGCCTTCCCTGTGCACAGATGATAAACCCAATATTTACCCACAGTTAAAAATTACCCCAATTTCAGCCTGTTAAAAATTAAGCACCCACCTTAGTTAAAACTCCAATGGGAAGTACCCCGCGATTCATTCTTTGACCCCAGCCGCAGTTCCGCCGCCATTTAAAACACTTTGCTGGCAGCACCGGGAAAATGGTTTCTCCAAAGCCAGGATTTCTTTCTCTTGCCTCTTGGGCTGTGTTTTTTCTGCTGCTGGGGATCTCCTGTGAAGGTGGGAAGCTCTTGGTCATACCCATTGATGGCAGCCACTGGCTCAGCATGCTCCCGGTTGTGGAGAAGCTCAGGGACAAGGGACACGAAATCGTGGTGCTTGCACCAGCGGTAAATTTGCGGATCCACTCCTCCCCGCTTTACACCCTGAAAACCTACCCCGTGTCCTACACCAAGGACTTCGTGGAGGCAGAGTTCAAACAGATGGGCCACAGGAGCTTCACGCCTCAACCCTTCTTGAAGAAACTCTCCAAAATAGCCAACTTCACGAGCATGTTCCTGGATTCCTGCAGGCGCCTCCTGTCCGAGCAGGAGCTGATCCGATACCTCGAGGGAAGCCAGTTTGACGCCGTGTTCATGGACCCGTTCTTCCCGTGCGGGCAGATCCTGGCAGAGCACCTCTCTCTGCCCTCCATCTACTTCGTGCGGGGGCTGCCCTGCGGCCTGGAGCTCGGTGCCACGCAGTGCCCCAGCCCTCCTTCCTATGTGCCACGCTCCTTCACCCGCTCCACGGACCGCATGTCCTTCCCGCGGCGCCTGGCCAACCTGCTGGCTGCCCTGGCCAGCTCCATGGCCTGCTCCGTCCTTTATGCCCCCTACGAGCCCTTGATCCGGGAATTCCTGCGGCGCCAGGCCAGCGTGCCCGAGCTGTTCGGCCACGCCGCCGTTTGGCTCATGAAATACGACTTTGTCTTTGAGTACCCCAGGCCGCTCATGCCCAACATGGTTTTGGTCGGAGGCATAGGCTGCACCCGGGAAAACAAATTATCCCAGGTTAGTTCCCGTTTTTTTTTTTTTTTTTTTTTTTTTTTTTTTTTTTTTTTACCCTGGGTTAGCCGTGGGTGCGCTGCGAACTCTTTCCAGGAGATGGAGCTCCCAGGCAGCAGCTGGGAATTCTGCATTTTGCATTTTTGCACCTCTGCATCCCTTGAGCAATGAGGAAAAAGTTACTTGGTGAGGCATCTCTGCGTTCCCTGAACAACCTGCACCAAAAAAAAAAAAAAAAGAGGAAGGCTTTTTCTTTTTCCCATTTTTTCCTGTCTCTTTCCATTCCTTTTTCCTGTCTACAGCTTCATTAAGAGGGGCAGTGGAGGGACAGCTCCCATCTCTGCTCTGTGTGACCGGGACACAACCCAGGGAACGGCTGGAGCTGTGCCAGGGCAGGTTTAGGGTGGATTTTGGGAAAGGTTCTTCTGTCCCCAGAGGGTGCTGGGCACTGCCCAGGTTCCCCAGGGAATGGGCACAGCCCCAGACCTCCAGGAGGATTTGGACAGCGCTGCCAGGGATGCACGGGGGAGATTGTTGGGGTGTCTGTACATGATCCTTGTGGTTCCTTTCCAGCTCAGGATATTCCATGAACTTCAGACAGCTCAGCATGAAATCCCCACCATCTGTGAAGCAGCATTTCTGCCTCTTTTGTGTCAAATACTCTACACTCTGTATTTTTCTTGAACCGTGCCAAACTTCCTCAAAATGGGGTATCTCCCGCTTTCCATTAAGAAATCTTCCTAATTCTCTTATTTGTCCAAGAATGTCCACAGCAGGTATTTCCTAAAGGTATGAGCAGGTGCTGATTAAAACAACTCAAAATAACCTTCATATTCCCAGAGCAGGTCTTCAAAAAGTTTCCTTGTGGTAGGAGAACTTCTGAGCGGAAAATCAGACCTTGGAATGCAAAAACATTTAAAGAACCAAGTAAAACTGATGTCCCAGAATATAAACAGGGTGAAACACGCCTCTAGACAGCCACAAAAATTCAGAAAAGAGCATCAGCTGAGTCCGTTTTGGTTGTCCCTGCCTGTGGCAGGGGATGGGAATGAGAAGATCTTTAAAATCCCTTCCAACCCAAAGCATTCCAACCAAAGTTATCCCGTCAGATCCCAGAGATAACACAGCAATTGCCAGACTTACAGGAACATTCATTTCATTCTATTCCATTTATTTAACTCTGATGCCTACAACAATTTCCTCCAGTTTCTCCTTCCCTTCCTTGGCTGGACCAAACATTTTTCTACGGCAAATAATTTTTCTGCTCCAGCCTTGGGCTGTTTTTTTCTGCTTCACTGGAATCCTTTTGTTCCTGGATTCCTGCGCTCGATCTCCTTCTATAATTTAAATTGCTCAAACAAAATAGAGACAAAACTGGCAACAGTTCAGTGTTATCATGCCCCAAGCAGATACAATCAATCCAGATATTAGAAATTTGAGTTACCTGCTGGCAGAATGAGTTTCCAGGATTTTAATTCTCTCTTGTGGTCTGAAAAGAAAGGGCACCAACTCTGAATCCAGGCTTGGGTTAAATGTGCCCATTTTTATTTCCCCAGGATTAATTTTTCTGTAGGGTCATAGAACAGGTTGGGCTGGAAGGGACCTTGAAGATCATCCAGTGCCACCCCCTGCCATGGCAGGGACAATTCCCACCATCCCAGGGTGCTCCAAACTCCATCCAACCTGGCCATGGACACTGCCAGGGATCCAGGGGCAGCCACAGCTTCTCTGGGCACCCTGTGCCAGGGCCCCCCACCCTCACAGGGAAGGATTTCTTCCTAATATGTAACTCAAATTTCCCCTCTTTTAGTTTGAAGCCATTATTCCCTGTCCCATCACTCCAGTTCCTCATGAAAACTCCTTCTTTCTGAGCCTCCTCAGGCACCGGAAGGGTTTTTTAGGTCTCCATACACCTTTCTCACCTCCAGGCTGGACAGCCCCAATGTCCCAGCCTGTCCCCACAGGGAAGGTGCTCCTGTGTCCTTATCAACTCCCTGCTTCTCTCTGGACTTGCTCCATCAGCTCCATGTCCTTCTCACTCTGGGGATCCCAGGCTGGATGCAGGATTCCAGGTGTGGTCTCAGGAGAGGGGAGGATCCCCTCCCAGGACCTGCTGGCTGTGCTCTTTGGATTCAGATTGATCAATAACAACTCTTTTTCCTCATCCCAATTTTGTTGTGCTCCCTGCTTGTTTGGTTACCTTTCCAGGGGGTTTAGTGGGATTCATGGCAGGAATTGACAGAATCACAGGATCACAGAATCACAGGATCACAGAATCACAGGATCACACACAGAATCACTGAGTCATAGGATCACAGAATCATGGAATGAATCACAGAGTCACACACACAATCACAGAGTCACAGAGTTACAGAATCAATCACAGAATCAATCACAGAATCAATCACAGTCACAGAATCACGGAATAACAGAGTCAATCACAGAGTCACAGAATCACAGGATCATAGAGTCACAGAATAAATCACAGAATCACAGAATCATAGAATCACAGAATGACAGAATCAATCACAGAGTCAATCACAGAATCACAGGATCAATCACAGAATCACCAGGATTGGAAGAGACCTCCAAAATCTTCAAGTCCAGCCCCTGCCCCAACTCCTCAACTAACTCACAGCACCCATCCCCACATCCAAACTTTGTTTAAAAATATCCAGGGATGGTGACTCCACCACCTCCCTGGGCAGAGCATTTCAGTGCTTTATCACCTTTTCTGTAAAAAACTATTTTCTTTCTGATATCTAACACCCAAGAGAATGTCTAATTCTGACAGGAGGGAGGACTTTGACTAAAGGCTTCCTCTCCTTTGGCAGGAATTTGAAGCCGTGGTGAACGCCTCCGGTGAGCACGGCATCGTTGTCTTCTCGCTGGGCTCCATGGTGTCCGAGATCCCCATGAAGAAAGCCATGGAAATCGCCGAGGCCTTGGGAACGGTCCCTCAGACGGTAGCCAACCCCTCCTCCCCTCCAGCAGAGCAGCTACCCGCTGTTCTCAGGTTCTCCCTCCCTCCTCCTGCCGGATCTCACTTGGATTTTGCTCCCCTGGCCAGGTGCTGTGGCGCTACACGGGCAAGGCACCCCCCAACCTGCCCAAGAACGTGAAGCTGGTCAAGTGGCTGCCTCAGAACGACCTCCTGGGTAGGTGTGACCCACCTGGCTGTCACCTCGGTGTCTCTTGAGCATCCTCAGTGGGTCAGCTGGGAGTTACCGGCCCCTGACGCGTCGCTGTGGGTCACAAACCTTCCTGGCAGCCTTTGAGGCCAGGGATTGTCCTTTAGAAATGTAGCTGAGAATTGCTGAGTTATAGAACAACTCTGTTTGGAGAGGTTTTCCAGCTCTTGAATACCAGCCAAAAACAGTACCATCATCTCTCACTGAGCAGTCTGAACACCCAAATGTGTTTTTGTCCCGTTTTCTGCACCAAAAGGAGAATTTGTGGCCCTCAAGTGTGCACTTCCAGACAGGTCTTGGGGCTTTTAAAGGGGTGGGATTGTTCCTGTTGTGGCCAGGAGAGCATTTGTTGGTTACAGAACGGGGTTCAGCTGTGAGAGACTTTCATTAGCATGGATGAAATGGTAAAAAAGTAATCGATGGTAATCAATGCTCTTCAGGTAAAAAAATAATCTATGGTAATCAATCCTCTTCAGATAAAAAAAGTAATCAATGGCAATCAATCCTCTTCTGCCTTTCCTGAAATAGTGAAAAAGTAATCGATGGTAATCAATGCTCTTCAGGTAAAAAAATAATCTATGGTAATCAATCCTCTTCAGGTAAAAAAATAACCTATGTTAATCAATCCTCTTCAACCTCATCCTGAGATGGTAAAAAAGTAATCAATGGTAATCAATGCTCTTCAGGTAAAAAAGTAATCAATGGTAATCAATCCTCTACAACCTCTCCTGGCTCTGGTTTGATCCTAAAATCTGAGGATCCTTGGAGGATTACCCAAAATTAAGGCAGAGGTCTACAACCTTCTGACTCCTGAGTGTGCCCGTGAGGAATGATGACCAAACCCTACAGCAACCCCAAACCCTTGATTTACCCCAACCATGACCCTTTTTTGTGCGGGTTTTTTCCCCGGGGATGGGCTGCTGGGTGTCAGTGAACCCAGGAACTGAGCAAAGCCTGTTTCACCCCACAGCCCACCCCAAAACCCGTGCCTTCATCACCCACGGTGGCTCCCACGGCGTCTATGAGGGCATCTGCAACGCCGTGCCCATGGTGCTGATGCCCCTATTCGGGGACCAGATGGACAACGCCAAGCGCGTGGAGTCGCGGGGAGCGGGGCTGACCCTCAACATCCTGGAAATGACCTCCAGCGACATCTCCAACGCCCTGAAAGCTGTGATCAACGAGAAAAAGTCAGTACCAGGGGCACAGCCTGCCTCCTTCCTCTTGTGCAGCCCCAGAACGTTCACTCCCAGCTTTACGTTTATGTTTTTCTGCTCCTAAATGGTTYCTTTAATGAAAATTACGGATTTGAGAGCAGCTTTTTCTGTGGAGAAGCTGATGCTCACCCTGGTTCAACTTCAGGCTGTCCCTCTGTAATATTTAGGGTACAAGAAGTAGCTGAGAGGGGAGGATGCAGGGATCAGGGGAGATGAATTATAAACCCAATGGAAGAAATCAAGTTGCCCAAAAAATCACCTCCTTAAAGCCCAGGCAGAGACAAAGTTTGCCCTTTGACACAAGGRGCAAACAGCTTTTGTTCCCCAAACCTCTGGTGGCCAGGGGGGAGCCTGAAAATGTTGAATTTTCTTGGCACTTCTTGCCCAGCAGCAGAGGGAAGAAGGAAGGTGGGTGGCGATAATCCAGGAATTATTTCCTCGCAGCCAGCACAGTTTATCAAACATATTTATCACTCGCTGATCTCACAGGTGAGTTTTCTCAGGCATTTCTCCCCTCTCAGTGCTCCTAAGGAATTCTGTGGCTGGACAATTCCAGCAGGGAGCAGGAAGAAGCCATTACCCTTCTCTAGGGGCTCAAACCCACATTTCCCTCCTTTTATTCTGTCACAGGAAACAGCACTCTCTGCCCCTGTAACTTTGCCATTTTCCTTCTCAAGGGGCTGAAACTGAGCATTGCCTCTTTTTTTTTTCTATGGTTGAAAACTTCCTGGGTGTGTAACTTTGCCATTTTCCTTCTCAAGAGGCTCAAACTGACCTTTCCCTCTTTTTTTTTTTTTTTTTTTTTTTTTTTTTTTTTTTTTTTTTCTGTCATTAGTATTTCCCTCTTTCTTTTTCTGTCACTGGAAACTTTCTGGGTGTTTAACTTTGCCACCCCCCTTCTCAAGGGGCTCAGACTGAGCTTTCCCTCTTTCTTTCTTTGGAAACTTCTTGGGTGTGTAATTTTGCCATTTTCCTTCTCAAGGGGCTCAAACTGAGCTTTCCCTCCTTTTTTTTCTGTCATTAGAAACTTTTTTTTTCTCCTCTCACTGGAAACTTCCTGGGTGTTTAACTTTGCCATCCGCCTTCTCGAGGGGCTCGGCGGCACGAGAGAAGTTGTTGTTACCCACTCGTGGGAGTGTCCTGGGTGGGGTTTGGAGCAGCCTGATTTGGTAAAAGTTGTCCCTGGCCGTTAGGGACGWGTTTTAGATCCTTCCAACCCAACCCCAGCCACGATTCCGCGTTTGAAACCCCGACCCCGTTCTCCCGGCAGGTACAAAGAGAACATCAAGCGCATGTCGGAACTGCACCTGGACAGACCCATCCACCCGCTRGACCTGGCCGTGCACTGGGTGGAGTTTGTGATGAGGCACAAGGGGGCCCCTCACCTGCGCCCCGCCGCCCACGACCTCAACTGGGTCCAGTACCACTCGCTGGATGTCATCGCCTTCCTGGCAGTCGTGGTGCTGCTCTCGCTCTACATCTCCTTCAAGTGCTGCCTGTGCTGCTGCCGCAGGTGCTTCTGCAAGAAGGGCAGGACGAGGAAATCCACCAAAGCCAAGGCTCACTAGTGCCTGGAACCCGCCAGCGCCCCAAAACCCCTCCTCCGGATCAGCGGCGGGGACGGAGAGCGGCTCAAATTGCACCGAAATGAATAAAAACCACTACGATTTTCAGCCGAGGAATGATGGGGGTTTTTCTAAAATCGCACCGATTCCAGCCTGTAATTAACGCTGGGTTGGCAGAAACGCCTCGTGCAGGAGCATTTCAGGGAAGKTCTGAGTGTCAAACCCGAGGCTTGCTCTCTGTTAAATCCCCCCAGAATTGGCAATTTCTACTCCCACCCTGGCACATTTTTTGTGTTTATCTGATTTTTCCCGGGATTTTGACATCCAGAAAGGCTGGGGAAGGACCAGTAGGAGACAAGCGCTGCTTCCCAGCTCTTTTGGGCTCCTCAAACCCTCCCAGCCCCAAAATCTCGGGTTTTGGGATTTRGGCTGATGTCCTGGGGGACAGAGCAGCCCCAGATCCGGGGGCAGGATATAACTTGCAGAGGACTCACGGTGACTTTTAAATTTAACCACTGCACGCAGCAGAGATTTAAAAGCATTTTAGAGGACTTCAAAGCCTTTGGGAACAGGATCTGACCTACTCTGACCAGATTTCTGTTTGAAATCTCAGCGTGGCTGCTGCTGTAGGAGAGGAAAACGCACACTCACAATTCCTGTCACGCAAACCTGGGCACATCTCTGGGTGTGTTCACAAGACCCTGAACAAAAGCCAGGTTTCTGTCAGGGAAGCTGCTGGAAAACCCACACGGTGTTCCCCCCGATTTGGAAAACCCCAAATTCCCCATCAGGCAGGTGGGGAGAATTGCTCACCAACCCCAAATGATCTCTTTGTAAGTGATGCTCAGGGAGAGACCCCAAACCCCAGCCCTATAAATAAAGCTCAGATATTAAAAATAAAGAATCCTGTGTTTTCTGCCTCGGGGGGGGGGATGCTTGTTTGTTAAAAAAACAGGGACAGATTCAATCCCACAGGGTGTGAAGGCCATCTTGATACACAAAACCCTTTTCCCAGCATTCCTGTCCTGCTGTCACAAAAAAAGCCCACAAAACAAAACAAAAACAACCCAAAAAACGAAACAAAAAACCCCCAAAAAA